ACTTTAAAACATAACCAAATGACAGCAAAGCGTGGAGAATGAGATTGACTTACAAAACAAAAGTAGTCCTACTATGCTTACAAAACAGAATCTACCTACACCACTAAGGAAGAAACATTAAATGATTGCAGTCTCACAAACACCGGCCTCTATCTAACGACCCATCAAACAATAACTCCTGAAATTCTTGACTGACTTTTTCTGGTAGGAGCTACGGCAGCCACGAAAACAGGTCACTGCCCAACGGAGTAAAGTGAACGAGAGCAGGCACCGCAATCGACCCATAACCAGCGAGTAGGCCAAGTCACTGTGTTTATCGACATACTGGGCTGCAAGACACTTGAGAAAGCGGTTTGCCTCCCGGCCACACATGCCATTCGTGGCGAAAACCAACGGGGTGAACGTGCCTCGGTCTATATTCACAACACGCGCTCCGTATTCCCGCTTTTTCATGCCTTCATGCTTTTGGAGATGGCGCTGGAGAGTTTATCCACGAAAGGCGTGTCGAGTTGGCTCGGGGTATTGCCTCTGGCAGACCATGGTCACCATCTGTCCAAGGGAGACTTCCGCGACGCTCTAGCTCTCCGCTATGGTTGGTCTCTCTTGGACACACCAGCGAGCTGTGTGTGTGGGGAGCCGTTCGACGCCACGCATGCGATGATTTGCCCCCGCGGAGGTTTCCCGACAATTCGCCACAATGAAGTAAGAGATATCGTGGCGGATCTTCTGACGGAGGTATGCTCAGATGTGGCAGTCGAGCCTGTACTTGCTCCGATCACAGGCGAGGTGTTTTTATCGGCATCAACAAACACCGCGAACGACGCCAGCGCTGATGTCCGAGCTCGTGGGGTCTGGACTCGGGCTCAGAATGCGTTCTTCGATGTCCGGGTCTTCCACCCGGATGCAGCATCATACAAGAGCAAGCCCGTCAGTGATCTTCTGAAGCAACATGAGCGCCGCAAGAAGAGTGAGTATGCCGAGCGTATCAACAATGTCGACCGTGGTTCATTTACACCTCTAGTCTTTACCACGGCGGGTTGTTGTGCTCCGGAGTGTACTGCATTCATTAAGCGGTTGTGTGCATTGCTGGCAACTGCCGATCGACCGTATGCCCAGCTAATGGCCTATGTGCGGTGTCGCTTGTCCTTCGCTTTGCTCAGGGCAGCCATAATGTGCATTCGCGGTGCACGTTCGGCCTACCATCGTCCAGTTAATGCGATGAGGGAGTTGGCCATTGTGGAGAGCGGCTTTTAAGCATGTGATTGAGTGGTCTCTGCATGTTGATCGGGTAGCGGAGTTCCATCACTGACACAGTGCGCGGGTATTGCATTATGAATTGGTTGAGTAGACAGTTCCGGAATTAATTCCGTGTTCGATATTGTTTATTATTATTATTATTCGCATGCAACGACGCAAATCCACACAATTCAGTAGACACTTCTTCTATCAAATGACGGTTTACAGAAAACCCACCTTTACTGGCTTGTATATTCCATGGGGAAGCTACACACCAACTAAATCCAAAGTTCACCTTGTCAAAGCACTAGTCTATCGTGCCCATCGAATCTGCTCTCCTCACCTTCTTCAAGAAGAACTGAGGCGGCTCACATCAATTTTGACAAACAATGGATACCCCTCGTCACTACTAACAAAACTTATTAATAACAAACCAATCACGCAGGATCCGAAACCATTTGGACCGGACAGGTGCCCCGTGGTACTACGCTTACCCTGGGTGGGTGCTGGTTCTGCGCGCGTCGAGAAGGAGGTGCGCAACATTGTCTGTTCGTCTTACCCGTGCGTGAAATTGTATTTAGTATTTGGAACGACGCGTGCGTTCAGTGTGAAGAAGGACGTTCTACCTACCCTTAGTAGAAGCAACCTTATCTATTTTTTCAGTGCCGAGAATGTGAAGATCGGTACGTAGGTAGAACCCTTCAACACCTGGGCGCACGCATCCGTCAACATGTGCCGTTAGGTATTGTCCCTGTTGACGCTCGTGGTACTCGTCCTCGTCGTGGCCGTCCTCCAAAATGTGCTGTGCAGTCCGATACTGGAACGCCTTTGTCTGCGTCCGGTGTAGATGTACGCATGCGCGCCTCCGCCTCGACGGGCGGGGAGCTTGGCCCATCTCAGACAAGCGTGAGGAAGCGAGAGAGACCGTCTCGAAAACCACCCAATGTGACACTGGAGCTCATAGACACCGGAAGAGTTACCAGAAGCAAGGTGAAGAGACGGAGTACTGGGGATCTGAATACGTCGATAATGGAAGTGACAACAACGATCAACAAGAGGAAACGAGGAAGACCAAGAAGTGACACGAAAACGGCCATGAAATCAACAAAAACGGACATGAAATCAACGGACGTTGGAGGTGTGGACCGGAGCAACCAACCAAACAAGCCTAACGGAAGAGAACAACGGCAGGCGTCGAAGGTGACAGAGCTAAGTGATCGGACATCGTCCATCAAGCGTCATTTGTCGGGCAGTGCTAGTTGTCGTAAGTTGTATAGTGATGATATCTTTTCGATTTTGACTCGTGGAAGGTCTAAGTTACATCTTGCTGTGTTAGAAGCTCTGTATATTCGTAAACTAGATCCAGAACTATGTGTACAGAAGGAGAATGTGTTATCGTTGCAGTTGTTTGGTGTCACACCTCGTGAAAGTGTGACAAGTGTTCCCTGATGTGTTCAACGTGTTTGTCTACAACTTGCAGCTGTTTGTTTTTGATTTTCTTAACACTTTAATTATTTTAACACCTATGCTGAAGTGTTGACTTTTTCTTTCTTTCATTCTCTATATAGTTATGTGTTTTTCTAATTTCCAACATTCCCTGTACTATCCTGAAGAGAAGGGAAAGAAAACGTTTGATAGAAGAAGTGTCTACTGAATTGTGTGGATTTGCGTCGTTGCATGCGAATACGTATTACGAAACTGTTTTTCCCACCGCCTCCAAACTACTGTTTGAATTATTATTATTATTATTATTTTAACTGGTTTGAGGGAAAGAGACAAACGGGAAAAGTCTGAAGAAAAAATTGACTGTCACCACCAGGACTCGAACCAGGGACCCTCGCTTGTGGCCAGCGATGCTCTAACCACTGAGCTATGGTGTAGTCGTCATCCAAGCAGAGACCATTATTATTATTATTATTATTATTTTATGGCTCAACATCCGAGTTTCAAATTATTATTATTATTATTATTATTAGAATTACAGATGGAGCGGACTCGCTCCCTTCTATTTACACTGCAACGTTCGAACACATTTTCGTAGTTAAAACAACGTTTCGGCATATAGCCATCATCAGGTTTGCAATGATGTGCACTCTACAAAGGAGCAGCAAATATACTGTAGATTCAACGCCAGCCACGAACGTATCAAATTCACGCATGAATTAAGTTGTGACAGTGGCTGCATAGGCTACATGGACGTAACGATCGCGGTTGGGCAAACCGGAGAGCTGTCATTCAAATTGTTCCAGAAGGCATGCAGTAGTGGCCTACTGGTGGATTATTCATGGGCAGTTCCTCACCACATCAAGTTAGCCGTCGCTCAATCTCAATTCCTAAGGGCACAGCGACTATCGTCTAACCCCATGATGCAAGCCGAGAGCGAACAAAAAATACACAAACAACTGCGCATAAATAAATACCCAGACGGTATCATATCGGAAGCAAGGGAAGCTGCCAGGAAACCTCGGCGTAGACGACGCGGTAATCCCCGCTCTGCCTTCCTTAAACTACCGTTCAAGTCCGATGAAGTACACCACCATGTGAACAAAGCAATACGGAAATACAAGTTGCCGGTACGTGTCGTATACGAGCACTCGGGCAGCCTCAGGCGTCAACTGTGCCGGTCGGCGCTGTTACCACCCAAGTGCGTAAACGAGCCCAACAGTACTGAAAAAAGACGAAGAGGACGTCCACTAGGGCCTTGCATTACCTGTCAGTCTGGAGGCGAACGAGTATGTATGACAAAGAAGGTAGTCTACGAATTGCAATGCAAATGGTGCCGGGAAACGTATGTAGGGGAGACGGAACGCTCCTTGGAAACAAGAATTCGGGAGCACAATGGGGAGGCACGCCGTCGCACTCTCGATAAGCCATGGGGTGACCACGTGCGCGACAAACATTCTGGCGAGAGTATAGCTGCTGCGGATAGTGTGTTCTCGGCTGTGTCAGTCCTGGCAAGGGCAGGCGACAGAGCAAGCAGAAAACTGCGAGAAGCTGTTGAAATCCGCAACTTGCGGCCGCAAGTAAACACTAATGCTGGCTGGGCACTACTGTGAATATATCGTATCTGGATATTAATATATCACCAATCCCTTTCGCCACCTTTGTAGCTGACACATTTAGCGCAAACACAGCACGGCACAGTATATTTGCTGCTCCTTTGTAGAGTGCACATCATTGCAAACCTGATGAGGGCTATATGCCGAAACGTTGTTTTAACTACGAAAATGTGTTCGAACGTTGCAGTGTAAATAGAAGGGAGCGAGTCCGCTCCATCTGTAATTCTGTATGAAACTGCAGGAGGCCTCACCGCTTCTAATCTATTATTATTTACATATTTTTATTTTATTTTATTCGTGTTCGATATTGAATCTTTATTTATTTATATTTTTACAATTATTGTTTTTATTCCATTTCACATTTTTCATTCGTGTTGGGTTTAACTACTCACTGTACTGATACATGGTGATGATTGTGCTTTACTTTGCCCATAAAAGAGGCCTTCCCTACCATCATCATCATTGCCGGGCTTGAACTCCCCACCCATGTGCACAGCGGCCAATGCAGAATTAGGCCAGCAACGTCGCCACGTACCATTGCGTAGGAATGTGTGCGTGGCCAGCAGCAGGTTCTTGGACACGTTGTCACCTTCAGCCTCGTCCAGCATAGGTACCTGGTCTCGTCCAGCATAGGTACCCCCCCCCCCCCCCCCCCCATGTGCACAGCGGCCAATGCAGAATTAGGCCCGCAACGTCGCCACGTACCATTGGATAGGGATGCGTGCCTGGGCATCATCTGGTCAGCCTGGTCCAGCATAGCCATCTGGGCAAAGCACACGCCATCAGCAGCAGCAGCAGCATGCAGCAGAGAACAGATCAACAAATTTAAAAAATCACATTTCACGTTAGACTCGTCTGAAGGCCGAGTTTTCCGCATTCGTAGGAGCGCCACCACCCTCTATAACAGAACAGAACAACAGAGATGAGAGCAGACTCCACTGCATCCATTTACACATTCGGATATCTCAACTCAAACCCTCAAAACATAGTGTCTTTGCCGCATACGTCATCAACTGTTCACTAACAGTTGATGACGTTGAACAGCTGATGACGCAAGCAGCAAATACACTGACTGTACTGTGGTTGGGAGTTGAGGCACCCTAATGAGAATTACACACGATGAAATGAATAACAAGGCATATACGTACATACCTACACACGTACCTCCACCTTACACGTGGGTACATGCACGCACAAAGCCTCGCGCACACCTTCACCGACCCACTCAGCAGAAATTACATCCACCAGCCATTCCAAATTATACTTATCCACTCTCCCACCATTACACCCACACAGACACCCAGACACACACACACACACGCGTGTGCGCGCACACACACACACACACACACAAACACACGCGCGCACGCGCGCGCGCGCACACACACACATCAGCACAGCCTACCTCCGCCTCAGCATTCTCCCTGGGTTTCCTCTGCACCGGTTCCTTGGTAATGTTATCACGCACAATATCAGTCTCATCAACAATTTCTGTTTTGATGATTTCTTCAATAATGTCCTCTAGTGTCACAATCCCTGCACAACAACAACAACAACAAACAACAACAACAACAACAACAACAACAACAACAACAACAACAACAACAACAACAACAACAACAACAACAACAACAACAACAACAACAACAACAACAACAACCATCGTGAGAATAAAGAATTCAACAACAACAACAACAACAACAACAACAACAACAACAACAACAACAACAACAACAACAACAACAACAACAACAACAACAACAACAACAACAACAACAACAACAACAACAACAACAACAACAACAACAACAACAACAACAACAACAACAACAACAACAACAACAACAACAACACCTACAACAGCCGATAAACTTTTCATAAAAAAATTTCACGGTTCCCGCCGAGTTTTCCACATCCGCAGGAACGGCACCACCCTCTTGGATCAAGGCGCAGGTGCAGCTCTTCATTAGCATGGCTACTATTTTAGCACGCCACAACATTTAGATATCTCTTTATCCGATCCCCTTTACCTGTGTTTCTTCTTCTCGTATTGGCCACAGGCCATTGTGAGAATATAAGGTTTCAAACAGCAGCAGCAACATCGAGAACAACAGCAGCAGTGGCAGCATCAACATCAAGAGAATGAAGATTCGACAAACCAAAGTCGCTACTGCCACAACCAGAACCAGAAAAATAAGAGCATCAACATCAAGAGAATGAAGATTCGACAAACCAAAGTCGCTACTGCCACAACCAGAACCAGAAAAATAAGAAAGGGAGAGAGAGAGAGAGAGAGAGAGAGAGAGAGAGAGAGAGAGAGAGAGAGAGAGAGAGAGAGAGAGAGAGAGAGAGAGAGAGAGAGGGAGGGAGGGAGGGAGGGAGGGAGGGAGGGAGGGAGGGAGGGAGGGAGGGAGGGAGGGAGGGAGGGAGGGAGGGAGGGAGGGAGGGAGGGAGGGAGGGAGGGAGGGAGGGAGGGAGGAAGAGAGTAAGTTACATTTATAAAGACAGGTAAGTCTAACAAATGAGGACTGAGACCTCTACAACAGGGCTTTTACGCCTGAAAGCAGGTGCGTGATTTAACAAGCAGGTTGTCAGTCTAGATTTTATGCGCAGATGGAGAAAAAGCGCAGAATTTTTGTAATGAGATGAAAAGCAGAAATAATAAGAAATAATAAGAAAAGATGAAATGAAAGCCTGCTCACAACCCCGCCCAGCCTTGCGAACTGGGTATGGTGGATTAAGAACCCGGTTCAACGCTCGAGCAAGCGCTCTCCACTCAAGGTGTTCACAGCAACTGATAGGAACTCATATGGGGAAATTATAGAAAAGAAATAATAAGATAAAGAGAGTAAATTTCAACGCACCTCAATAAACGGAGCCCCACATACAGTACCTCAGAAAAGTGGATCTTCCGACCAGTGTTTTTGTTGACGCCGCAACCAGATGATGTAGCTGCTTCGCAGAGACGTCTTACTGCACAAATTACAAATAAATTTTATTCTTCGATTAGAAAATCCAAGCGCTTTCAGAGCCCTCCGAAGAGAGTCCGGGATGAAACCACGCACACCTACCTCAACCGAAAAAGAAACGACCTGCCACCCGTTTGCTCGGCATTGATCGGCCAGATCCGCATACCGCCTGTCCTTCCGCGAGTTACTGACACTGAACCTGTCCTCAGCACAAACTGTCAACTCCATCCAGAATACAATCCTACGACTCGTAGAGTACAGAACTATATCTGGTCTTAGGGTGGTAAGTGCAACACAGCTAGGGAAAGAAATCTTTGCACTAACTGAGTCGACAAGAAGTTTCCAGTCTGAGGCCGCTGACAGGAGATCAGTCGTAACCAACTTTCGTCTGGGCTGAACGCGAACTGGCTTCTCTCCCGCCTTGCAAAACGAGATGAAGTCAAGCTCATTTGAATTTTCGGTCTGTACGGTGTTTGCAGCAGTGCGGATTCGAATCTCCTCACGCATGTTCCTGACGATGACCCCGAGTACGTTGTCGTGCCTCCAGGTGTAACGTCCCTGGTCCAGCGCTACGCGACAAGCGCCAAGCACGTGGCGCGTAGTACAGGCCCAGGTACGGCACAAACTACAGTACGGATCCACTACGGTGTTTCCCCAACGGCGTAGGTTCGTCGGAGAAGGTAGCACGTCGAGGGTTGATGCGAGAAGAAATTTCAAATCCTTACCAGTACCACCGTACAAAAGGGATTTCCACGAGAGGTCCTGCCACATCACCGATGTCCACTCCAACCACTTGCCTTGCACCTGAAGAGTCTTCAGCCTCAAAATCTGCTCCTGCGCGTTGATCTCCTCAAATGTTTAAAGGAGATCCTTCCTCGGGGGTTTGGAATGCTGCTTCGGAGCACGAGCACCCAACCCTGCACGATGACTTGAAGATGACGGTGGACGGAGAGTCCCTGAACCTACTGATGCCTCTGCACACTCCAGCTCTATTGTCGCCGCATATCGCTTTGTCAGCTTCGCATCCTTACTCCGACGCAGAGTGTACAGCGCCCTCATGCGCGCGTCCCCACTCGATCGAAGAATGTGCCATTTGATGGACTGGCACTTTTTCCACACCGTAGGAAGGTAGTGGAGGCGTAAGCCAAAGCGTTTGCGACTGCCAATAAAAAGAATGGCAGAGTTTGCGCATCGAGGTAGGCCTGACCATTTCTTCAGAAATGGTAAACACATAAAGTGCAGTTCACGTACAAAACCTTGTGTGAGTTCAAGAACCTGGAAAGACCAAGAAAGCTTGGGCACTACAAGATGGTGGTAAAGCCATAGCTTGTGGTGGTCTTGAAGCCAAGAGCCATCTACTTTTTGCATGAGAGATACAGTGAGTTGACGGATGTCTTCCCGCTGGGTCTGCTCAGAGCAATCAGCATGCAGCCTTCGCCCCAGGAACTTGAACTCTGCAGTGTCAATGAAAGCGATCTTCCTCCCTGACATTGTCAGGCAGGGATCGTAAGGTTTGTACCGGCCATCTACAAGCTTTGCTGCACTGCTTTTGCATTTGTGCGGCGCCGCCTGCATACATTGGGTCCACGAGAGAAAGTCCTCCGTGACCGCAATGAGTTTTTGACAACCTGCACTAGATTTGCTATAGAGGCCTAAGTCATCAGCAAAAGCTGTTTGGGACACTTGCAAAGGGGCAGATTTAAAATCATAGGAGAGGCAACTTAATTCAGGGGCTGCAAGTGAGTCCAGCAGAAGCTGGAAACAAATATTGAAAAGGACCGGGGACAAGGGGCACCCCTGGAAAACACCAATGTTGTAATTAAAGGTTGGGGTGTGTGGTTGTACGACGAAAGCGCAAAGACTGTCGTAGTAGGAAAAAATTAATTTCCTGAATTGCAAAGGAAGGCTGTAGTGGGTTAGAGCATACTGTATCAGATTGTGGCGCACTGAACCAAATGCATTCTTCAAATCTATCCACGCAATGCAAATTTGGCGTTTTGCCGTCTTTGCATCACGCATCGCCTCATAACAAAGTGATGTATGCTCTAAGCACCCAGCCTTTGCAGGCATAAATCCTTTCTGGTTGTCACCATCGAAGAACTTATTGCCTAGCATATGTTTCAAGAGGCGCTTTGCAACTAAGGTGAAAAAGATCTTCCCGGACGTGTTCGCTAGAGCAATCGGTCGGAATTTCGAAGGATCATCAGGCACCTCCCCCTTGGCCAGGAGTGTGATACACGCTACCTGCCACTGCCTTGGAATGATCTTGCTCTCCCAAACCCGCCCAAAGATGGTGAAAAGAATGGATTGAAGGGAGGGACAAAGCTTCCAAACTATGTAAGGTATCTTGTCAGACCCGGTGCAGAGGTGTTGCGACACTTCTTCAAAACATTCTGAAATTCAGTCCATGTAGGGGTCCCCTCATCGACTGGGTGGGTGCAATCCCGGGGCTTCCCTGCACTGGGGCAGGATTCGTACGAGAGAGAGAGAGAGAGAGAGAGAGAGAGAGAGAGAGAGAGAGAGAGAGAGAGAGAGAGAGAGAGAGAGAGAGAGAGAGAGAGAGAGAGAGAGAGAGAGAGAGAGAGAGGGGGGGAGAGAGAGAGAGAGAGAGAGAGAGAGAGAGAGAGAGAGAGAGAGAGAGAGAGAGAGAGAGAGAGAGAGAGAGAGAGAGAGAAAGGGGAGAGAGAGAAAGAGAGAGAGAGACACACACACACACATGCACACACACACACACACACACACACACACACACACACATACACACAAAGACAGACAGACACACTCACCGACAGTGACATTGTATGGGTCTCCTTCACAATTGTTGCTAGGACGCTGGACGAGTGACATGTGTGACACGCCGCTCTTAAACTGCTCCAGCATGACATCCAGCTTGGTGTCTGGCACAGTGCTTAAAACCTGCAACAACAATCGTGACAACACAACGGCATGAGAACACAGTAAAAAAACTGTCAACGCAACCACTCTGATAGGAGAAGCTCCTGTCCCACAGGGGACCAGTACAACACGGACAAAGGAGTGGTATTCCCAGTAGGGTTGCAATGGGTAGGGGTTTGGTCGCGTAACGACTTTGGGTACCAAATTTTCCCCAATATAAGTCGCACCTTTTTACACTAAAACTCAAGGGTAAAAAGGGGTGCGACTTTCAATCGAGCGAGACTTACTACTGAAGTCAATATATCAAATCAACAATGCTCAAACTTGAAAGTGGGGGTGCGACTTATAATCGAGTGCGACTTATAAACGGGGAAATACGGTATTTCTATCCGGGTAGCACGGCTACCCTATCGGGTATTTTTTCGACATCGTTTGTACAGTGAGGGTCTACTTGTGCTACATAGAAAGTGTACAGTAAGCACGTGGCCGTGTTTTTTACATGCACAGTTGCAGTACCGACTCCAACTACCCGATCGGGTTCTCAGCAACCACCTGCACACAGGGGTCTGGATTTGAAGGTCCCGAGAGAGGTCGAGCAAGACAGGCTTCAACGCACAATCATGTGGAGAAAGACAACGCGCTTGCTGAGCAAGCAGCAAGAAATGGCAGCAGCATCGCCCGCAGCTGTTGAAACGAATACGTTCGGGACATCAACTCAAAACTCCCGGCCGCATGATGGATCTAGTCGGGGAAAAAACAAAACGCTCATCGCCGACATTAGTACTGGCATCAGCAGCAGCAGCAGCCGGAGCAGCAGAAGCAGTAGCAGCAGCATCAACAGAAGCAGCATCAACAGTAGCAAGCACAGCAGCAACAGCAGCAGCACAGCAACAACAACTGCAGCAGCAAGCACAGCAACAGCAACAGCAGCAAGCACAGCAGCAGCAGCAAGCCCAGCAGCAACAGCAGCAGCAGCAGCAGTGTTGTACTGTATCATACACTTACGGCATGTTCGTATTGCTTCACAATGCGGGACACAGGCAAGTTCTCGTCCGGGTTCACAACCATCAAATCCTTCACAAATAGCACGCCCATGATGTCGCTCTCGTCTCCATGGCAGTACACTGGTATGCGCGAGTGACCCTTTTTCTGCATACACACACATGCACATGCACATGCACACACACACACACACACACACACACACACACACACACACAACACACACACACACACACACACACACACACACACACACACAGACACACACACAGACGCACGCACGGAAACCAGCATGACTGTATACAGCTTCAGACTTTTTCCGTTCGCACCTTTCCCTTCAGAAACACACAAACTGGGCTTCGCATCCGCAGGCCACCACTACGCCTGTACAACAGCATACGAGGAAACACTGTTTCATTAGTCGCCGTAACTGCAGCTCACCTGGATCTTGCGGAGCATTTCGAGGTTTAAGACGGTGTTATCGGCGAGCAGGAACATGTCAGCCTTGGGAGTCATGACGTCCTTTATGGTCTTGTTCTTAAACTCTAGCACTCCAGTCAACATCTCTAGTTCATCCTGGTGGAAAGAGGAACACGACACGGCCATCGCAGCAGCACGCACACAGACACAAGTACACACACAGACACAGACACACGCGCGCACCAGCACACACGGAAGCAAACGAGCATAGCGACATCCGACAATTCAGTAGTGAACAGAGCAGATACCGTATTTCACCGGTTATAAGTCGACCCCGGCTATCGGTCGACTCCCGAATCCGGAGGTCATATTTTCGGTTTTTAAGTTTCTCGCAAGACACAGACACACACAAACACACACACACACACACACACACACACACACACACACACACACACACACACACAGGGACACAAACGAAAGCAGAGCAAGAACCCCTTACCTCAGCTATATAATGGTGATCACGCGTCACTTCCACCACCTTAATGAGCTCCTCGCGTTTATACACACGACCAGGCTCCTCTCCTAAGATATAATTCAAAATCTTAGGAAACAAGAAAAAACCACAGAAAAAACATGTGAAGGGCTCCAATTCAAAACGAACGAGATAGATCCATTTTGTGGAAATTTCAGGAAGTGCATTTTTCATTTGTTCTTTTCAGTCTGCAATGCAGCATCAATGACTTTTGTCGCGTTTAGCAGAAGAACACAAACTTCAGGAATCATTTTGACAGGGATGCATCGCGTTTTGACCCGTAAACCCGACACACAGACGTCCGTGGGGTGAAAACGAATTCTTTCGTGACAAAAAACCCCGAAAAGCTCCGGTTTGGTCTTTATCGCGTTTTGAATTGGAGCCCTTCATGTACATTCAGCGTGATTAAGGAGACTAGTAACTTGACCCAAGGGGACCACTGGAATCAAGACCAATGACTGCCATGTCCAGGTGAACGCCATGCCACAAGAGCACCCATTTCACACACAGGGACCAACGTTATGCCTGCCTTGAACACCCATTGCACACACACAGGAACCAAGCTCATGCCAGTCTTGAACACCCATTGCACACACAGATCAAGGTCATGCCCGGATTGAACACCCATTGCACACACACACAGGTCGAGGTCATGCAAGCCTTGAACACCCATTACACTCACAGGGACCTAGGTCACGCCTGTCTTGAGCACCCGAGATAAGAAGACTGCAGAAACTCACTCACGAGATGGGAATGGTTAGCGGGACCATGACCTTTGGGGAAAGTGCGCAAGATCGAAAGGAGGGGGAGAGAGAGAGAGAGAGAGAGAGAGAGAGAGAGAGAGAGAGAGAGAGAGAGAGAGAGAGAGAGAGAGAGAGAGAGAGAGAGAGGAGATAAGAAAATTGCAACTCACCCAAGAGATGGGCATGGCTAGCGGGAAAGTGACGATCATGAAGATGCGCGTCAGCCAGATGGTCTTCGCCCCGACTAACAGGCCATGGCGCGAGCAGATGCTCTGCGGGAAATCTCGCCGAGGACGACAATACCTCCGGACGAAGCTATCACGGCAATCCTCCAGAGCCAGTCAACGAGTCCAGCAGGTTGTTAACATTCTGTGGACAACAGCAGCGGAAGCAGCGGCAGAAAGCAAACACAAAACCCAACCAGCGAAACACACAAAAAATATTAAATCCCCAGTGCCCATTGCCAAATATGCATTGTATGAGTAGTACATTGCATCATGTGAGTACAGTAATTTCACAAATTTCGGTGTACTTTTATTTTCGGTACTTTCGGTGCGTCTGTTTCACACCTAAAATTTCAATACACCGAACAAACACTAACACCAAGAGTGTACAACTCCTGATACCCTTTCTATGGGGTACGCCAACAGCGGAAAACTCACATCACGTGGTGCAGTGTCGCAGTTGTACGTTTCCAGCCCGTTTTTAGCGAGCAGCGGAGTACTAAAAAAAAGCACTCTTTGACAGAAACTCACTGCGCGTATGCAAATCCCAGCATGATCACGGCAGATTTTCGGATTGCGCGCATGCTATCCTACGTTTGTACGTAGTACAAAGGTATCTGAGACACGTGATGTGAGTTTTCGCCGTCGGAGACCCCATATGCAGAGTTGCACACTCTTGGGGATTATACTCTTGCTAACACACATAATCCAATAGGGAACTGCTTCTCTGCACCGAAAATTTCTGTTCACCTAGCCTAGCCTGTTGCCCTCATACCGAAAATATTGAGCACTGAAAATTTCTGAAATTAGAGTATGCTGGGACCAGCAATGCACTGTTCAACAGCCCACACGAACATGCCCAGGCGGCGGTGTGAGGTATTTAGAGAGAGTGACACCAGATAAAGCCGCAGGTAATGAGTGGAAATATCATGACTTTCCGCGCCTCAGATTCGAGCCACCCTTGTGCACTATTTCTGTCCCCTTGATTTTTTCATGGTGTTTTTGACTGAAATCTCCAATTTCCGAAGAGATATGAGGCTGTGCAGCAGGAAATTGTCCAAATACCCCCTACTATATCTTTTTTTTTCCTGCTCAGTAGGGGTGTGGCTTGGTGCTGAAGATGCAAAACTGGAAAGTGTTCGTACAAATTTTGTTAATTCATCACGTTAACAATGGGACTTTCGAGAGAGAAATTCACCGTCTGGGAAAGGTTATGAACGATAGCAGTGGTTGAAATGGCTGGTATTTGTTATGTGCAATAATTAGTCTGTACAAGAGGCCTACCAGCAGGAACTAGAGCCCGATGGCTATGCAAAGCTACCTAAGAAAATAGACCCTACAGAGAAGTCAAACAAAAATTTCGCAAAAATCCGATATTTTCCAGAGACCCATACAGGAAGAGAATCCCCAGACACCACACCAACAAAACGTCATTTCTTTTTCCAAGCATACATGGAGAGATGCCGAAGACAACAAGACTAATCCTCATTCAAACACACACAAACACTTCCACCTGTCCATCGCTGAAGCGATGATAGCGAACAAGCTACGTTAGACATAGCAACTTGTGCTGGGATTACAATTACACCAATCAACAGCTTGCAAGGCTGATGAATTGACGGCCACAAATGTTAGCCTGGTATCCACCACACAGCTGATTGAAGTGGCTTTTTCTTGCCAGTGAATCCTTATTCATAATTTTTCTTTCAATGAAGAAACACGCACGCACACACACACACACACACACACACACACACACACACACACACACACACACGCATGCACGCACGCACACACACACACACACACACACACACACACACACACACACACACACACACACACACTTGTACTTGCTCACTGCAAAAATGGGTCTCCCCGGGAGAGGGGAGAGATACCCAAAAGGAATCTTAGAAAGATGACTCAATTGGCTATTGAACCGCCCAAAGGCTGACATTCCCTGAAATCCCCAAACTGTGGGTGGACTTGGAAATGATCCCAATTATGGGCTCACCACACCTCACACACTTAAACACACACCACATACAAGTATGTGGAGGGGGGACTCACGCATTCACAAGGACATTGCCCAGCAGGATGGAGCAAAGGAGATAGT